CCCCCGTGCCCCCCGTGCCCCCGGTGCCCCCCGTGCCCCCCGCACACCCCGTACCCCCCGCACCCCCCGTGTCCCCCATCCCCCGTGCCCCCCGCACACCCCGTACCCCCCGCACCCCCCCCCGCTGCCCCAGCGCTCCCCTCCCGGGCTGAGGGCGGGGCCTAACGCGGGGGCGAGGCTTAACCACGGGGGCGGGGCCTGACGAGGAGGGCGGGGCCTACCCTAAGGTGAGGCGGGGAGTGGGCGGGGCCTGGAGGGCTTTGACAAACAAGGAGGCGTGGTCTGTGGCAGGGGCGGGGCATGGCCGTGCACAGGGGCGCGGCCTCTCTGCAGGGGGAGGGGCTGAACGGCAAAGGAGGGCGTGGCCTGGCTGCAGAGGGCGGGTCAGGGCTGTGGGGGCGTGGCCTGGGAGCGGGGGCGTGTCCCGCCATCGGAAGGGGCGTGGTCTGGCGCAGGAGGCGGGTCACTGTGGCGGAAGGGGGCGTGGCCCGGCGGCGATTCCCTGACGGTCGCGGGGCCTGCGCGGCCCGGGCTGCGGGCGGGGACCGGCACCGGCACTGGGTACTGGGGCATCGCACGGAGGGGGACCGGGGCCGGGGCCGGGGGCCAGCGGCAGGGGATCCTGGTGGGAGGGGCTCTGAGGATGGGGAAGGGCCCTGAGGAGGGTTTGGGGTGGAAGGGACTCTGAGGCAGCCCTGAGGGGCAGGAGGAGGTCCTGAGAGGGCTGTGGGGTGCGAGGGGGCCTTGGGAGGCTGAGAGACCCCGAGGGGGTGGGAATGTGGGGTGTGAGGGATCTGCGGGAAGGGCGGTGGGGCTGGAGGTGGCAGTGCCGTGGCAGGAGCTCGGCCTGGCTCTGGGGGACGCTGTGAGCCCCCTCAGGCAGCCTCGCTGGCCCCGGGGCACCCGCAGAGTAGCTGCTGGGCCCCTTCTGCTAGAGAAGGAGGGTGAAGCCCTGGTTCCTGCAGGGTTTGGGGTGCAGGCAGTGCCCCGTGGAGGTGCCTGTCCCTCACTTCACCCCACTTTGTGCTGATGACACTGCTCACCTCGGCTCACAGCGCTGCAGTCAACCTCTACCGTCAGCAACAGCTGCTCTCGCCACTGAAACACCTCCGAGTGTAACTGAAGAGGGAAGAAGGAACCCAGGAGAGGTTTTCAGGAGCTCCCTGAGAGGGAGTCACAGAAGGCAGCAGAGGAGAGCCCAGCCCAGGCTGTATCTCCCTCCCCACGGCAGCTCTGTGCCTCTCACCCCCACAGCCCGTTAATGCAGCCAGACAAAGCCGCGGGTGGAGCCGCCAGGGCCCGGCAGGAGCTGCGGGAGCCCCGCCTGGCCCTGCCCAGCTCTGGCTGAGGGGGAGCAGGCGGCCTGTGGGGACACGAACCTGCGAGCCCGCCCCTGGAGAGGGGACGGTGCCCCGAGAACAGCCATGGAGAAGATGGCCAGGGTCACCACGGCCCTGGGGGGCAACACCCTGAGTGGCCGCACCATGTTCTGCCACCTGGACGCCCCCGCCAATGCCATCAGCGTGTGCCGCGACGCCGCGCAGGTCGTGGTGGCCGGACGCAACATCTTCAAGATCTACTCCATTGAGGAGGAGCAGTTCGTGGAGAAGCTGAACCTGCGCGTGGGCCGCAAGCCCTCCCTGAACTTCAGCTGCGCCGACGTGGTGTGGCACCAGATGGACGAGAACCTGCTGGCCACGGCCGCCACCAACGGTGTGGTGGTCACCTGGAACCTCGGCAAGCCGTCCCGCAACAAGCAGGACCAGCTGTTCACGGAGCACAAGCGCACGGTGAACAAGGTGTGCTTCCACCCCACCGAGGTGTACATGCTGCTCAGCGGCTCCCAGGACGGGTACATGAAGTGCTTCGACCTGCGCAAGAAGGACTCTGTCAGCACCTTCTCTGGTACAGACACGGCTGCCGGTTCCCCTGCTCCCTGGGGGAGGCAGGGGTTGAGGGCTTCACCCTTCCTTTGCTTGTCCTCTTTCCCTGCTTTGCCCTTGAGGGCTTTTGCCCTTTCCCCGTGCCCGGGAGAAACGTTTGCTCAGGGTGAGGGTGTGATGCCCAAAGCGGGGAGGGAGGGAGCTGAGAGGCGTTTTGGTGCTTTTCTGTCCCTCTCAGCAGTGGGATGGAGATGGAAGGTGGTCACATCACTCCCTGCCTCCCCTTCCCTCTGAACCGGGGACCCCCAGGGCTCCTCCAGTGAGGTTTTTAGCTCTGCTGGAGCTCTGTCCCACCGGATCTCGCCTTCTGTCCCTCAGGCCAGTCGGAGAGCGTGCGTGATGTGCAGTTCAGCATCCGGGACTATTTCACCTTCGCCGCCACCTTCGAGAACGGGAACGTGCAGCTGTGGGACATCCGGCGGCCCGACCGCTACGAGAGGATGTTCACGGCCCACAACGGGCCCGTCTTCTGCTGCGACTGGCACCTGGAGGACAGGTGGGGGTGGGCTGAGCCCTGGCAGCCACCTGGTCTCGCAGGGATGAGGGAGGCCCTAAAAACAGGGCTTGCAACTTTCAGGGGAGAGATCAGCATCTCTGGTATCTTGGTCACTGTGTCAGGGGCTGGGATGTTGCTGGAAGGTGGGAGCAATTGTTGCTTTGAGGATTTGAGGCCTCAAATCCAACACCATGTTGGGGTGTTTTAGGGGCTTTCTTTGACAAATTAGGGGATTTTGAGGCACTGAGTTACTAATGGTCAGGTATAGCAAGCAGGGGAGCCAGGGTACGCCGAGGGTGTGTGTTCTGTGACATGACTCAGCTGCGTTTGGTCACATTTGCCTCCTGCCTTTCCTGGGGGATGATTGGGAAGGGTCTGGAAGCAGCTGCTGTGGTGTGCAGGTCCCTCCTCGCTCCCTGCCAGGCAGTGCTGCAACTCCTCACGAGCTTAGGGAGGCACTGAAATATGTTCAGAGTGGCCTTTTTCCTCTCTGCTGTGCCTGGTGAGAGGAAACCAGAGGTAGAGGGAACTGGTCTGACTGGGATTGTGGCTCTAAAGGTGCAGGGCCCTAAGTGGGGGCAGGAAGAAGGGTGTTGCCTGACCTGGTTGTTGGAGAGAGGAGGTGTCAGTGGAGCACTTGGGAGGATGCAGTTGCAGGCCGGCTGCCTCCCCGTGGCCTGGATGTGTTCGGTCTGTGCTGTGAGTGTTTCTGTGCCAGGGTGGGAGAGGGGAAGGGGCACAGATGCACGCTGCCATCTCCCCATCTTCCTCCATCCTTCTCCCAGGGGCTGGCTGGCCACGGGCGGCCGGGACAAGATGGTGAAGGTGTGGGACATGAACACGACGCGGGCGAAGGAGATTTACTGCGTGCAGACCATCGCCTCGGTGGCGCGGGTGAAGTGGCGCCCCGAGTGCAAGCACCACATCGCCACCTGCTCCATGATGGTGGACCACAACATCTACGTGTGGGACGTGCGCCGCCCCTTCATCCCCTCCGCCATGTTCGAGGAGCACAAGGACGTCACCACGGGCATCGTGTGGCGGCACCTCCACGACCCCTATTTCCTGCTGTCGGGCTCCAAGGACAGCACCCTTTACCAGCACATCTTCAAGGATGCCAGCCAGCCCATCGACCGGGCCAACCCCGAGGGGCTGTGCTACAGCCTGTACGGAGACCTGGCCTTCGCCGCCAAGGAGAGCCTCATCTCCTCCGACTCCAACCGCAAGCCCTACATCGGGGACCGGCGCCACCCCATCTTCTTCAAGCGCAAGCTGGACCCCACGGAGCAGTTCGAGTACATCTCGTCCTCCAGCGCCCTCAGCGTGTTCGAGACGGACGTGGAGAGCGGCAGCATGGACTGGTTCGTGCACACGGCCAAGCAGTACGCGCTGGCCGGCCGGCCCCTGGCCGAGCTCTGCGACCACAACGCCAAGGTGGCCAAGGGCCTGGACCGCAACCAGGTGAGATGTGGGATGGGGAGGGCAGGGCAGGGCCTGGTTTGCAGCCTGGCAAGGTCTGGCACTGGCTGTCTCCCACGCAGGTGGCTCAAACGTGGACGATGCTGCGGATTATCTATTCCAGCCTCGGCACCGTGTCGTCCGCCAACCTCAACCACAGCATGGGCAAAGGCAGCGCTGCCCTCCCGCTCATGAACAGGTACGGGGGGGTTGGAGCTGCACTGAGGGATGTCATGGCTGGGGCAGCTCCATGAGTGGGAGAGCGGATGTGGCTCCTTTGGGATGGAGTCCTGGAATCATATCATTGAGTCACAGTGGTTTGGGTTGGAAAGGACCTTAAAGCTCATCTCATTCTGCCCCCCTGCCCTGGGCAGGGACACCTTCCACTAGCCCAGGTTGCTCCAAGCCCCGTCCAACCTGCCCTTGGACATTTCCAGGGATGGGGCAGCCACAGCTGCTCTGGGCAGCCTGTGCCAGGGCCTGACCAACCTCACAGGGAAGAATTTCTTCCTGACATCTGACCCGTCCCAGTCACAGGGTGGGAGCAGGGACAGCTCTCCCTAGCCTCAGGCCATGCTGGTTTGCAGATTGGGATCCTTTGGACAAAGCCATTTCCCATGTGGGTGTGAGAAGTGAGTGTCCAGCCTGACCTTGAGCCGTGCAGCCTCATGTGCTGCTCCCTTCCCTCCTGGAGCCAGAGTTTGGAGCTGTGGTGGGGTGTGGGACTGGCACCAGCTCTGCAGTCACTGAATTCATGAGTCATTTGGGTTCCCCTAAGATCGAGTCCAACTGTCAACCTAAGGCCACCAATAACCCGTGTCCCCTAAGCACCACATCTAAACATTTTTTGAACACTTCCAGGGATGGTGACTCCACCACTGCCCTGGGCCGCTGTGCCAGTGCCTGACCACCCTT